AACGGTGGTGAAACATTTTATTTCTGTATACGGGCGTACATATGGGCGTAAGGTATAAACGAAAGTTAAAGTTAGCCCTGTCACAGACCGTGGAGGCCCATAGGGTTGTGAGACGTCGAGGCTCTCACATTTTCCAGACAACCGGCTCACAGATGGCGGTGAGGTTGTCAGCCTTACGAGCCTGCCGCCCTTTGCAACTAAGAAGATTCTCGATACTCATTTCTCTTAGAGGCTGAGTCGACCCCAGAGCCATGGTGCGGCTGGAAGGATTAGGCCAATTTAAAACCCAATGACCTCATCGACAATCAACCCGCGTCCTTCTGGCCTGTGGCATAGTGCATCAATTAACTATGCTACCGCGCGATCTATATATACGAGACTGCTTATATCTACAGAAGTTATTTGATAATTTATGAGTATATATAGCCCTATGTCATATCACACAGTAATTTTAGCGTGCTTACATGGGTGGAAATTCTGTACAAACTGTGCCTTTGTGAAGATAAAGATTCGATTTAGTTTACTGTTTTAACAGAGAAATGAGAAGTAGAGATAAAAGTATGAAGAGATGAGAGAAGAGGAAGAAAGAGGATGAATGTCGCAAATAAGAAAGGAATTATTTCCATTTGAATTTTAACGCGCTTATCCAGCAGTATCGTTCATAATCGTAACGCTATATGGAATACTTGAAGTACAATAATCTCGAATACATCCTGTGTGTGATCCCATCATCAGTGATGTTGAAGTTATCAATATTATGGATCTTAGCCATAGCAGAAAACATACAGTGTGAGAAGTTTAGGTAATTCAATACAGATCTCTAAGTCACTGTATAAACATAATGTATGCTACAACTATTGCTATTGCGCGTCCTGCTGCGTGTCCCAAACGTACAGTTAGTTAGCCGTCGGCACAACAACGCAACTTTAATCACTCACTATTTTACAATTGAATATTCATTTTCTGCTACAAATTTCGGTCTCATAGGACCATTACCAGGCAGTGATACAAGAACACGCCTAGGGCCACTGAACTGCTAACATGGATCCATATTTGGTGCAATGTGTCAATTCCTATGTTACAGAATTGTGCCTCAAGTTAAATATGAATATTGAAATTAAGCGCATAAAAATACATGAAACATAACTAGGATATATTAAAAATATATTATACACGTATTTGACTTCTTATTAAATGTACTGAAAATACTGAATATGTATTAAAAACTATTAAAGTTATTACTTATTAATTCCTGGATTACTTAAAGACATTTTGCAGCTTAATATACAACGTAGCTTCCCTTAGTGAGATTACTGTGAAGTATATACTGGAAACAAATGTATCTCCTGGCATGGTCTGAGGCCCACTATGAGCTAATCTCTTGCTTACAGATAACAGCAGGCCGCGCCATAGCTCAAGCGATTAGTCGCTAGCTTCCCACAGCGGCGGCCCGGGTTCTATCCCAGGTCTGGTCAAGTGGGATTTGTGGTGGACAAAGTGGAGCTGGGGCAGGTTTTCTCCGAGTACTTCGGTTTCCCCTGCCAATCTTCATTCCACCAATTGATTCACAATCACCGTCATCTATCATCTGGGGCTGGTACAAAAGGCCAGAAATGGCCGCAGTAGAAGGGACTTAGTCCCAGCCCACTAGCAATAACAAAAATACACATAACATCATAGGGCTGATGGGACAGAATGTTGTAATGTCCCAAAGGCAATTAGAAAACGACTAATATTATTGTGCCTGTGGTCACTTGGGCGTGTGGAGGAAGTGTCTACGACTTGTTTTAAGCGACAGCAGTCACTCGGAAAGCCTAAGGGAAACCAAGGACACCTATGTAGTATACTTGTCTAAACCGTCATAAGGCGAGGCAAATCGCAGTGCAAGGAAATTACTCCAGGCGGAAGGAAGAATGGGACATTTATTTCTTCTTTTTGTAATATACACTTCTTCCGCATACTTGTTTATGGAAACCAGATCGTAAATTTAAAACACAATAATTAAAGTCTCCCGAATTGAATATTTAATGTCCTTGTATGCAATAATCACGGCGGCCGCGCCTATAAGGCATGAACGCCGGGATTTTGTTCGAATCCCACTCAAGACATGGATGTCTGTGTGTGCTTTTATTCTGTTTGTGTTATCCTGTGTGTAGATAACTGCCCTGCGACGGGCTGATCTCTCGTCCAAGGAGCCCTACCGTCTGTGTAAAGAAGATTATGAAACTGAAGAAGAGCCATTGATAAACGAATGAAATGTAATCAATACAGATTCTGTGGCAGCAAGAAAATCTTTGCCTCGAAGAATAACTGGATTTTATAAAGGTACTTTGTTTAATTAACCCTCACTGTCTTAGGGAAATATATAAAATAATCAGTGTAAAAACACTTTCTTGCTTACTTACTAACTTACTCACGGAGCTGAGCCCTTCTGGAGGAGCCGCCAATTCTGCAGCTACTCAAGAATTTCCCAGCATTTTATGGAACCCGAAGGTTCATTACCGTGTTCACAAGAGCCATCCACTGGTCCCTATCCTGAGCCAGATCAATCCAATCAATAGCATCCCATCCTATCTCTCTAAGATATATTTTATTATTGTCCACCCACCTACGCCTTGATATTCCTCACCGTAAAAAATAATCATGTTATGAAAACGAACACAAAGCCTCGGACCTGGACGGATTCCCTGGATAAACGACCTAAGCTACTGAAAATGGATATGAGATTTGGCACTTGGAATGTTCGAAGTTTGTATAGGGCAGGTTCGCTCAGGGCAGTGGCAGAAGAAATCTTAAAATATAAGTTAGATTTAGCGGGAGTACAGGAGGTCAGATGGGATGGAGGTGGCATCGCACCAGCAGGAGACTATACATTTTTCTATGGAAAGGGGAATGAAAATCATGAATTAGTATAAAAAGTACTGGATGCGAAAAATATATGACGCAGTATACATTTCGTAGCTGCACATTCGCAGTCAGAATCCATAGGCTCAAAATCTTCAGAGATATTCCAAAATTTTATTTCGAAATTTGAAACTTACATGGGATTCTACGATATGGTGCAAGACTCCTTCTGTATTTGTTGATACGAATCCCAAAGAAATTGTATGGTGATAACTCTTTGTGTCAGGTACGTGATGAGATATTATTTCTTATACTTTCTTGCTAAGAAACTGATATTTATATTGAGGTATTGAAGTCGGTTAAGTAATTCTGTACGTATGCTTTGCCATATTTATAATCACAAATGTGAAAATAACCGAATAATTTATCTATCTGAAGTTTCAGTTCTTCATATGCTCCCTTCGGACTGTGAGGCTGGTAAAAGTTTACCTTGTTACTGCTAAAGAATCATATGGCTCGCATGTCACCGTCACTTTTGGATTATCAAAGAATACATCCGGATTTCACTTTATTATATCCAGTAAATCTAGGAGATTTTCAGTAGATCAAGTGAAGAAGTGTATTTGAACGATTTCATATTTAAATAGTATTTTAACACATTTTTACTTAAAATAATAGATGTGCATGTTCCTCCATAGCTGAAGAAAACATGAGGAAATATTTATACGTGTTATAAAAAGTTGGATGAAAATGGTTTCATATGAATCGTTCTGACCGTTTACCAAACTCCTCCTCAACAAGCTGTAGGTAAAAGTGTTCATAACGAAACATGTTCCAATTTTTGGTAAATATGCATTGTAGAACAACTGAGGTCTTCACTCATTCTCGCCTCTTAATTAGTTTATACCATGACACAGACTAATCTTGAGTTTTTTTGTGATTTTCTTTAGTCCCTCCCGTAAAATGCCGCGATATTGCCTGAAATGAGGCCATTACCGTTTATTTCCACATTATTTCTAATGTATTTCCCATTATCACTGAATAACCCAATGCCCTATTGTCTGAGTTACTAGCAGGATAATTAAATAAACTAAAACTAATATTTCATTGTAACTATTATATGTTTAAATAATTCCTATTATATAACCTAATGCATGTATCTGTGACTGACTAACTAATTAACTAACACAACTGAGCAGATTTCTTCTTGAGATACTAACAGTCGCTCAGTTACTCAAGAAATGATCAACCTTTAATGAAATTCAGTAGTGTCTGCCTCCTGTCCTAAGCAAAATGAATACTCTCCACACCTGTCTAATAATTTTATTCATGATCAGTTTTATTAATATACTCCCATCTACTCCTAGGTCTCCTAAGAGGTCTCATCCCTTCAGGTTTTCAAACAATTATACTGGGGTATTTCTGACTTCTACGCAATCCGCCAGTTCTCCCTGATTTTACCATATGAAGAACATTTAGCAAAGACTTAAAATTATGAAGCCCCTCAATACACAATTTCCTCGAATCTCCAGTCACTTCCTCCATCTTAGGTCCAAATATTCTCATTACATTGTTCTCACGTACTTTCGATCTACGTTTTCCTCTTAGTCTTAGAAACAATGATTCAAGCCTATAAATAAGCTGTACTTAAAAGTATAGTCTGTGTATTTTAATTTTTATGTTTTGGGATATCGGACAAGAAAACAAATATTCTAATGTAAGCGGTAACAGACATTCTCCTAATATCATCTGCCTTTAGGTTCATCAAAAGAAATTTTCATTTGATATGTTTTCGAAGTATTTACAAGCTATCATTGCGTGTTCTTCCTGCACTCTGACAGGCACAATACACACGAACCAGTAGTAATTCCTATGGTTTCTGGTCTTTACAGAATATCATGCAGTAGAGGGTAGTATGTAAGCGAAAGGGATTCTTAAAAATTACTTATCCCAGATACGTTTCTAATGCCTCAGCTTTAGTAGCGTAAGCAAAATTTGTAGATAAATAGCATGACCATCTTAAACATATCTGAAATACAAAGAAATCTGCAGTACCATAACCTCGTTCTGTCATAACCTTAGATCTCTATTCAAGGAGACACTTTCGTGCTAAGGCATTTACATCTCTATACTTGTGAGTTAACTTCAGAACTTACCAGTCAAAATCGTTGCGATTAGGAGACTACTGATGATGCTTGAAAAGGGACAGCTGAGCCGAATACTTTGTGACATTCTGAATACGAACATTTTCACACTTAATAAAATAAATAATATATCTATAGAATAATCCGGAGTCAGCAAAAAACTGTATGTTCTTCTTTAGTGGTACATAAAAAGAAAATCAAGCTATAACTTTGTCACACACATGAAATGGAGCACGTCCCAATGCGGCACACACACCCTCCTTCACTTGCCTCTCGCACCAGCGCGCCACCACACACTACTCTGGCATTATTCCCGCTCGCAAAGTACGGTCGCCGCGCCACCGCTGATACTAGCGCCACACCCGGCCGGCCATGGAACCTCTCCCCCACACTGCCTCATGAAACTATCCTTCAACCTGTGTCCAAAATAAAGCAAGCAGGAAAATTCTCGTACCTCCCACTGTGATTAACGTATGCTAGTCTTAACCAACTTTCCGCAAGTTAACAACTATGATTGATTTTCTTTTGCTTTCATGAGAGTGTTTATACTATGTAAGAAAGAGTGACTGGTTAATTAAAAGGATTATTATTTATTACGTTAGTCTACATATGTTCTAGATCATGTCGACCGGATGGTGATAATACGAGGTGTGTGAACAAAGTAATGAGATTAATTTTCAGTGCTAAAACCGGCAAAACTGTGGCACCGAAACTATTACGAGGTTATAGCTACATCTCTCTTCTGCCTTCATTCCAAGTTTGAACTTGCTGGCATGTTGTTCTGTTGTGGGTATTGTAGATGTATGTTCCGTTACGGCGTCGCAAAAAGGAGAACAGTAATCTCTAGCAAAGTTATGTAATCAAGTTTTGTGACAAGCTGGGCGAGGGCTTTACCGCCATCTTTGAGCCGATTGTCTAGATAATGTGGGACCCTCAACGTCTCACAACTCTATGGGCCTTCATGGCTTGTTACAGGGCTAACGTTACTTTTTTTTTTTTTTTGCTGGATGAGGGCTCTACCGTTACTTGTGAAAATATTCAGGAAGCGTTTGGTAATGATTCTCTATCACGTGCTCAGGTATGTCGGTGGTTCAAAGAGTTTGTAAATGAGCGAGAAATGGTGGAAGATGAACAGCGATCTGGACGTCCCGCCACTATAAGAACAAGCACAAACGTCGACCGTGTCGGGGGTTTCCATTCGTCAAGATCGACGTCTGACAGTTCGAATGACCACCGAAGTATTCAATATTAATGAATGTGTGGTTCAAATTGTTACACAAGATCTGAACGTGAGAAAATGTGTGCGAAAATTGTTGCAACAAGTTTGAATATCACTCAAAAAGCGGGTCGAAAAAAAATGTAGGCAGAAATGCTTGAGAGGCTCGAAACTGAACCAGATATTTTAATCGGGTCATAAGAGGTGACAATAGTAGGTTTCTCGAATACGACCCTGAAACCAAAAGGCAGAGTGTCGAATGACACTTCGTATTCTGCAAGACTGAATAAAGCTCGCATAAGCAAATAAAAAATAAGAAAATGTTAATTAATCTTTCGATTCTTACATGGTAGTTCACAAAGAATTTGCACCTCCTGGTGTCACAGTGAACCAAAAATATTATCTTCAGCTATAAGGAAGCGGTTTAGAACGGAAATTTCAAAGTAATGGATTCTTCGAGCCTCATCACGACAGTGCGCCCTCACACAGCACTGTCAGTTCGTGAATTTCTGTGCTTCCGCAGGCACCTCGTTCTCCAGATTTGTCACCTTGTGATTTTATTTGTTCCCAAAATTAAACTCGAGAGTCAATTTTCAGACAATTGACAGCTGTAACAGACGCCATAAAGAGTGAAAGAAAAACTAACTTCAAATCCTATTATGAGGCATGAAAAATTCGCTGGGCTAAGTGTGTTTCATCATAGGGATATTATTTTGAAGGGTACAGTGTCTATTTAGACGATTAATTGAATAAATGGTTTTGCGTATACACGTAATTAAAGTCATTCCTTTTCAACACATCACGTATGGTAGGCGTACATATTATTGCCCTACTTCCCTGGCATTCATTTCTGCAGGAGGAACTTGGAATGAAACCTTTGAAAAGCGAAATTCATGTTCCACCCCGCTAACAAGTATCAGAATATTCGTAGGTTGCTTCACTCTACCGGTCTCGTATGGCATAAAGCCGTAAGCAGAGCATCAAATTTGAGCTGAGTAGGGCGTCAAGAGTCTGCTGCAAAACCACACATTAAGTCTTGACTACAGTTTTCGAGACTTCCCTCAGTTGTTCCGAATGAATAACATTCCATATTCCACACTTCGTAAATGCATAATTTGGAATCATCCTGACTTCTAATTTGGAGAGACATAACTTCTGTTGCTGATTCAGAGTCTTCAAATAACCTACGGTATACGCGACTTTCACATCGCCGAACTCCGAGACACGATAGAAGTACGTAAGGGCTGAAATGTACTCCATATTTAATCCGTTCTGACAATAAATGCTGAACAAGGAAAACGAAAATTTGATTACAAAATTGAATGCTGAGCATTTTTCGAGAAGCATGGATTTATGGGCCTAGTTTATATATATTGTGGCGTATTTGCTCAAAGCAAGAACTGTGTAGCCAGAGAAACTGCCGTTGCTAGGTAATGCCCACACGAAACAATAAAGGAATTGTCACAATACGAGATGTGACGCGTACAGCCGTTGTTATGGAGCGATGGGGTAAGCACGTTTTCGCGAAGAGGACTTCAAGCAACAATAGAAGAGCTGTGTTTTCTATGCTGTCCGTGCCGAGAGGTTATGAATGAGTGAATGTATGTATGTATAAGGAGTGGGCCTTCTTGGCCCTTGCACCGCGACCACAGTCTTGTCGAGGGTTTATAGAGACTACAATGAAGATTGTTGAAGTCAGTTGTGTTTCGAGAGGCTAATCTGCTAGGATACGAGCTTGGAAGTGGGGAAGTTGAATTTGAGAATTGATAGAGTCTCCGGAATTGACAGTTGGCAGAGTAATTGAGAAGAAATGGTTAGAAATGAATTATGCAGTGCAAAGAAGACTTCATAGAGTGCTGCAGTGACAGAGTGACTGTTACAAATCCGTCGCCAGCATACGACTAGTGAACACTGAGAAGACTTAGCATATCCTAGTGAACTGTAAAGTATATAGATCAGCGATAGCGCTGTAATTACCTTCAGTTTTGAGTGGTGTATATAAGGTGTCAATAAATCCAATCATCCAATCCATACCCCGTCTATATCACTCTAAATACGTGACAGTATAATACTTCGTAAAGTATTGACATGTATTCGGTCTGTAGTTTTCGTTCTCTCAGATATGTCGCAGTGAAATTGCCATGTTTTGTGGAAGTTATGAGCAGGAAGTTTAAACGGGGGTTGCGCCTCGTGAGACATAATATATAATTGAGCTATTCCATTTCGAGGGAAATCCATCACCAAACTGACAGGGACCTAAGCCTCCTTAATACACCATCTTGCTACAGAGGGGTTAAGTGGTAATCAAGGAGAATATTCTGTTATTATACGGTCCAAATCGATACCAGGTGTCCACTCGGACAGGACAAGTGGCTAGCCACTTACCGAATGTAACCCACATTACCTTACGCTTTCCAGTCGTCGGCACTGGTTTTCTTACCTGATAATTAGAATAACTCAACATGGGGTAGAGCATGACATTTGACAATTTCACGGTTATCGCTGTTTTTTGCGTTCTAAAGAATCGGCCGTGCTTATCTAGAGGCTCGAACCTGAGGACTTCAATTTAAATTCCATCAATTAATTAAATAAAGAGAATTAAGTGTCAATGGTATTATATTGAAATATTTGTCATGTGTTACAGTGACTAAAGAGGAGGCTGACCATTCACAGGTAGTAACTAAAATTAATTATTATACTATTGCTGAGTTTCACACTACAAAGCACTCCATGCTAAGCTCTTAAATCTATCTGCACTAGTCTTCACGGATTTACAGCACAGGAAATATAAAAGTCTCCCTAAATCACACACTCCCAATATCACTGTTCTACAGCACACATAAAGTCTTCAAATTATACGTTAAGTCATCACAGCCTGACTTCTTGTACTGTTCTGTAATTCTCAAACTTAACATCACAGCACGTCCCTTCCGGCTGGACAGAAAGAAACGGGTCGATACAAAACTTAAAATATGAGCGTGAAATTCAGCGAAAAAATATATAATTATTTGTACGTTAAAAATGAAATTTCTAAATAATTCAACTTAATTTGTCTCAAGCTTCATATAAGGATTTTCGTTATGAAAAATACAACTACCCTCATATTCCTTGAAGATATTCCTGAAGGGAAAGGAAGGCTTTGTTATCGTTGAAGTTCATCAATCATTTCCTCTTTCACCAAATTTGTCGCAGTCTTTTTGCTTTTTCAGACATTGTCTGACGCTGTGAACCGATATTTAGTCTTGATTCTTTACTTTATGGCTAATGGTTAATGGTGGATAATGGGTGTTTTGATGATGTTAGGTGACCTATATATACTCTTGAACAGAAAACATTTCCACTTTTCCGTTGTCGTATACGCAAAGTACATAGAATATTCCTTATAAACTCAGACGTACACAGATATATACACAATATCAAGGAGTTTAACACATGCTGTAACTAACCAGTCACCTCTTTCAAACTAAATTGCTAGTAAGATTTGAAACACGATGTAAACATGTGTAAAATTTGGAAAAAATTGCAACTAAATTAGCAAAAAGGAACTCTTATCCTTTTCGGTATTTATGCTGCACTTTTGCGAAGATAAAGCAAGCAGAGCCAAACCTCGGTAGATCGTGTACATCAGCTCATCACAGAAAGTGAGCAAAGTCCGTGAGAGTATTAGTATATTTTCCTAATAGGTTATTATTTTATAAGTAAAGAAATTTGCCCCTCTCCATCAGGCTCGAAGCTGGAAGGCTGCCATGTGTAATAACTGCATAAGACTTTGTTCAAATTATTCCAGACTCCCTATGTGCCTTTAAGTTCTATGTTTCATCAGGACCCAGATCACTCACGCAAAGTAATTGCTGATATTTTGAGCTTAAATTTGTTCATGAAAGAATTGCGTGTCAATTACAAATGGTAGACATAAAGAGAAGAAGAGAAATGAACGCGGCTATATTTTGACTCATATTATGAACTAATGGGGTCTAGGATAATGCAGTCGGTATAGCGACTGGCTACAGGCTGGACGACCGAGCAGTCGGAGTTCGAGACCCGGTAGGGTCAAGAAATTTCTCCAAGTCGTCCAGACCGGCTCTGGGGTCCACCAAGCTT